TTAATCTATAAGGAATATTAATGTATTTTTTATCATAAAAGAAAACTGACCTAGAACTTCAACTGTAAAATAAATATAGTCTGGGTAAAACAGATCAGTTGTAATATTTGTGTGTGTGTGTGTGTGTGTGTTTTAAATCCATCTTTCATCAAAGCTCTGGATTCAGACTGGATGTGCTTCATGTTCACTTGAAAAGAGAAAGACAAACTTGTGTTTGATATTAATTTTATTTTTAAGTAAAATCTGAAAGAAAGCAGTTTAATCTCTTTCTTAAACTCATACATCCATCACAATAACCCTTAATACAAAACAACCATTACTGCCGCATGACTCACTGACTCCAGTTCTGCGCGTGATTTGACTAAACTTTTGTCTCTACAGTGTTTTTAGCTCAATCCTACAGATGATTAAAACACATAGACTTTTTAGGTATACATTACATGTAACTGAATACGCCCTAATGAATGTAAAATATATATATACACAAATATGCACAAAAAAACAATTACATATGATATGCAGTTAAAAGCACAACTCTGTTGACTGTTGTGCTCAAGATCATTTGCAAAGGATCCTATAACCTCTAAAACTACCAGAATAAAGCCTATTTGACTGTAGCAGACACTCAGAAGTATTCTAGTAAATCTAATGGGCTTTAAGATCGCAGGCACAATGAAAGCAAACTGTGTGTGGTGTGGTGTGTTTTTTTTTTTTTTTTGTCTTCACTGTAATAGATTTCTATACCTGTGAACTACAACTATGTAGATGGCTATAAACCTTTTATTTAGTTTTATTTACACTATTTAAACATTTTAATCACAATATTGCTTCATTAATCTGAAGCTCAGTTCCTCTTGGCCACACTCAGATAGGCTTTCTCAATTTCAATTTCAGCTGGACAGGTCTGGCTGAACTCTTCTCTCTCATATGCATTCTGCAGGTAACGCCACACTCCAGTGAACTGAGCAGGAATCTCAAAATTGCAGTACTTTTTGGCAGCAACCTACAAAACCAAAAAACAGAATGAACACATTTATAAATATGTATTTAAAATGAAATAGCTTTATTAAATCACACAGTCCTGTGTGTGTGTGTGTGTGTGTGTGTGTGTGTGTGTAAACCACAGAGGCATATCACCTTGATGACGTGCAGCTTTGGTAACAAGTTGCAGTCTGCCAGTGTCAAGCGGTTGCCATCAAGGAACTTTCTTTTGGATTCGCTGATGTTTTGATCCAGCTCATCCTGAAGCGGAGTGTTCAGATAGTCATCCAGGCGCTTAAACTCCCTCAATAAGGCTTTTTCGTGGACTGAGGAATCAAACAGTAGAGAAAAAACATATTTAAGAGTGATATAGTACATTATAGTCTAATTGTGATGCCATGGTGTCTACATGCGCAGGAATACGTAGATACTACTTTTGTTTAGTTCCATTATGTAGGCCTAGTAATTGAATCTAATTATGTAGCTAAATATTTTCTAAATATCATCTTTGCTGATACAAACAGTGAAAATCTTCATAAAACTGTTTATTATCACCCACTGTCTCAGTTCCAGCCAGTCTGCGCATTAATAGTGTGGATTTTCAATCATGTTTCTGCAGGTCACATCAGTAGATGGCGACAAAATACAGTCTTTATGAGTAATTGAACCATTCATTCATTGAACCGATTCGTTTCAAAAAGCTGATTCATCTAGACACGCCACGCTACTGTTATTTTTGAACGACTCGTTGAATCATTCACTGAACTGATTTGTTCAAAACACTGAGTCATGCAGGAACGAAGCGCTTCAGTAATGTTGGGGATACTACGTTTCTGCTGTGGCTACGTTTGGAACTTTCTTCGCAATATTGTGTCTAAAATGTTACTTGATATTAACTTTTTATGTATTGTTGTATAAAAGCAATATCACACAATCGTGTTACCTCTGTGGCTGTGCTGCTCAAATAAGGTCCTAAAAATGTCTCAAGCAGATTTCACAACGGTATCCTCCACGTTGACTTGACCAACAGAAAACTGTTTGGTGTGAAAGTGACTGAACTTTTTGAATTTTCGTTAATGTGACTGCACCTTAAGAC